GTGGAGGGAGGGGGATGGGGAGGGAGAGGAGAAGGGAAGCGGCGGGCAGCAGCGGTGGAGGCGGCGGCGGTGGAGAGAAAAGAAAAGAAATGAAATGGATTATGTTATGGTTTGGATAGAGTTCGAGTTTTATTGGTGGGGGTAGGTAGAAGGGTTGGTATAATATATTATTTTTATTTTATAACATTATTATTAATTAAAAATAATAAAACTTGATTTTTGATTAAAAAAAGTCAAACCCTGATTTTTAGAAAGTTAAAACTAAATACTTGATCTAGTGTAATTTCCTCTTCAAATTACTTAGGAAATATGCAGCTGGGCTGTCCAAACATTACCCTTTGGAGAACATTAGTTCCTATTCAATTAAGTGTCAAAAACTTTTATATTTTACGAAAAGGAAATTCCATGTACATAGCCGCATGGATCGAGTTGGATTGTTTTTGGGTCCAACCCAAAATCGAAGCTGATCAAGGCAATTTAGGTAAATTCCACTAGAATGCCAATTTTTGGAGTGAAACGAGAACAAGATTAGTAACCAATGTTGAAAATTCTCTCATTCGTCGGTAATAATTATCATATAGTAAGTTAAAATAATTGTAAAAAATTACATACAATATAATTTGTCAAATGTTGTATTCGAGCAAAAATTATAGATTATAATTTGTCGTAATTTTGAAGCCCCAGTTTATGCTGTAATTTACAATATTTTAATAAAAATTAATATCTTTCAATTTACCCTTATTTTTTTCCCTATAGGTTCCATGACTTCCATCCATGCTAGCCAAAAAAGTTGCTATCCCATAAGTCGAGGATCCACAAATTTTACGGATCAACTTAATAAAGGGTGCTATATAGTAAAGTTCTCATTTCTAATTCGTGCTATTTGTGTCAATCTTCCATTTTGTTTGGATCCAACCCAATTTATTAGCAGTGAATTTCACTAGAGGTCACTCCATCTGTACGTTTGTTTCTCGTTGGTTGCTCAACTTCAATTTATTTTAATTTAATCACACAACTTCTGTTTTTATTTCAATTGACCACTCAATCTATAGTTGCTAAAATTGATAGAATGGCAACTCAACTTATATTTGTCAATGTAAAATTATTTTGGGTACTGAGAAGTTCGAATACATAATCTATTGTTTCAAAAGATCGAGTCTAAAAGTTAAAAGTAAATACAAATAGAAAAAACGAATTTCTTTATTTCCATGTTTGGAGGTGATTAAAATTCAGATTTTAATCTTAATTTTAACGACATATTTCATGAATCTCTTAACGTTTCGTTCACATGTTTCATAAATTTTTATATTCACCAAACAAGCCTAATTAGAATCAATTAGCAATTGGGTTAATTTCACAAACGGTCACCGAACTTACGCAAAAATAAAAAAACGGTCACTGAAGTTCAAAACTTATAGAAACAGTCACCGAAGTTTCATTCACTTTCACAAACTTCCATTGGAGGACCGTTTTGCCTTTAATTCAAACATAAAGGACCAAAGTGAGCTAACCCGAATTTTGGACAGTTTTGAGGTGCCAATTTTGGACCACCATAACTCCGTCCTCCTGCCACCTTTTGGCACGAACCAATATACCAAATTGAAGCCCTCAATGCCCTCTTAACAACCCACCCAACCGCTGGCAGTGATCCAGTCGGAATTGGCCGGAAATTAGAGTCAAAGTGAGCTATTCGGATTTTGGACAGCTTGGAGGTGCCAACTTTGGATCACCATAATTCCATCCTCCGGCCACCTTTTTCCACAGACCAATATACCATATTGAAGCCCTAAATTCCCTCTTCAAATTCCACCCAACCAATGGCTGTGATCCCATCGGAATTGGCCGAAAAAAG